CAAACTGTCTTCACGATTGACACGATGGACCATCCGTTTGCAAGGTTTCCAATTTACTGTCAAGTATAGAAAGGGACAGTCCAACGTAGTGCATGTTGTGGCATACGCATCTCGTTTGTTACGAGGACCTGAAAAGGCGTATTCTGTTTCAGAAAAAGAATGTCTCGCAGTGATCTGGGCTGTGGAGAAATGGAGGACATATTTAGAAGGTCGACCTTTTGAGGTGATTACTGACCACTCCGCATTAGCTTGGGTATTCCAACACCCCAAACTGTCTTCACGATTGACACGATGGACCATCCGTTTGCAAGGTTTCCAATTTACTGTCAAGTATAGAAAGGGACAGTCCAACGTAGTACCAGATGTACTATCTAGAAGCATGGAACCAGTGGCAACTTCAGGAAGGATTACAGTTCTCAAAGGCATGAAGTCCCCAGTTAAGCCAGCAGTTTTACCAGTCAACCTGTCTCAACTAGCCACTGCACAGAGTGATGATGCGGAAGTGCAAGAGCTGAGTAAGAAGGCTGATGCACAGGTGGATGCGGATAAAACACGGGTAAGGTATGTGTGTGAAAATGAGTTGTTATTCCGCAGTGTCCCTAGTAGTCATAATGGAGAGAAATTGCAATTAGTCATCCCAGCTTCCCTCCGAAATGAGTTCTTACAGTATGCACATGACAATCCTCTGAGTGGGCATGTTGGGAGAATGAAGACGTTGCTCAGGCTAATGGAAGTTGCATACTGGCCTAGTATGCGTGCAGACGTATGGAAGTACTGCAAGTTTTGTCATATATGTCAGAAGTACAAACCTAACTTGTCAAAGCTGTCTGGCCATTTACAGTCAACACCTGTGGTGGAGCCAGGTTACATGCTTGGTGTAGATTTAATGGGACCATTTCCGAAGAGTGGAAAGCAGAACAAACATTTACTGGTGGTGGTTGACTATTGTTCCAAGTGGGTGGAGTTATTTCCTTTACGAACGGCCAAGGCACCACAAATAGCACGCATCTTAGTGGAAGAAATATTCACTAGATGGGGAACTCCCGCTTACCTTGTATCCGATCGTGGAGCATAGTTCACATCCCATCTTATCAACTTGATTTGTAAGCAATGGGGAGTTGTGCAGAAATTAACAACCGCGTATCACCCACAAACAAGGGTTTGTGGAAAGGGTAGAAGAGAGAAACCTCACGGAAAGGGTAAATCGCACACTCAAAACAATGATGGCTTCATATGTGGAAGAGCACCACAGACAATGGGACAGGTGGTTGGCCGAATTTGGGTTTGCAATAAACACGGCGTGGCATGAAAGTACGGGATATACACCTGCTGAAGTTGCTTTGGGACGGAAACTCAAGGGTCCACTAGAAAGGGCTATTAATCGACCGCCTGATCCAAGCAGCCCTACCTATGAGGTGACAGACAGGCAACAAAGTCTGATCCAGGTGGTAAGGGAGAATGTAGAACGAGCTCAGGCCAAGCAAAAATGCTATTATGATAAAAAAAAAAAAAAAGAATACTTGGTTTCAAGTAGGAGACATAGTTTGGGTTCGAGCTCATCCTTTATCCAAAGCAGATGAGGGGTTTATGTCTAAATTGTCTGCAAAATGGAAGGGTCCAGCTAAAGTGGAAAAATGTCTGGGTCCAGTAAATTATGTTGTTTCATTTCTTGGTGAGCCTGGAAATGTTGATACCTATCATGTTCAGAATTTAAGTCTGTCATGGGTACTTCAAGACTTCTTTTGATGGAGGGGGTATGTAACAGTCTTCAGCCTGCTACTAGTTGAGTTCAGCTGCAGTTTCATTCCTCGCTTGTAGGGGGCAGCCTAAACTTCGGTTGATCACGGATAAATGTAGTAGCTTAATAGAAGAAGAGAGTATGGATACCTTTTGGTTGTGTGCCAATGTGCCTAGTTGCAGCATTTGAGCTGATCTTCTGCATTTGGGGAAGGCCCTTGTTGAGAAACATTTTTGTTTCCTTCTCAACTGTGAGTATGGTTACTTTATTGCATTTATTTATTTATGAAAGAGTTATTTTGATGACCCATTTAGTAGAGAACAAAACTATTGGGTATTTTTTTTCTATGTTTAATTGGTAGAACGAGGATAATGATTGAGGTGTTTTTTCTGTTTGTAGAAGGTTTTTTTTCCTATGTTATGCTTGATACATATGGAAGCGTTGTGGATTGAATTGGAATCTTCGTTGGTGGAGTTGGCAAGTAGGCCTACTAAAGTTCATCTGTTTGGTTCCCTACCATGGAGTTGCTTT